GAGTATATATATATATATATATATATATATATATATATATATATATATATATATATATATATATATATATATATATATATATATTATATACTCTTAAACAAGAGTATATATATATATATATATATATATATATATAATATATATATATATATATATATATATATATATATATATATATATATATATATATATATATGTTTGTATAAAGGTCTAACATTTTGTCTCTCATACATGAATCTAATCTTATTATCTTTTACTAAGGGTAGAACTATTGCAAAGAAATTATTTTTTAATTTTTGAATCTAATGACCACACTCTTTTTTCTTGTTTCAGAGAAATAGGTTATTTTGTTATTAGGCATTTAAATTAACTTAGATTTCCTAGAGCCTGTGGCTTTAAACAAAATTCTTTTCACAGTCTCACAAAAGTTTTCTCCAGAATTTCATTTGATACTCCGTATGCTATTCAATAAGTGCTTCACCAAATCTTGTTTTTATCTATGGTTGTTTTTGTCAATTTCCAAAGATTCCAAAGATTAAAACTGAAATCTATGGTTTCTGTTTTAAAAATCCTAGGAAATTACTAAGATTCCTCTAACTATTGCCCAATCAGTTTTCTGACAACTCAATATATAGATCCTCTTGTTTTACTGTTAACTTGTTATTTGTTATAAAAAAAAAGTTTCTATCGTGCATTGGATGGAAGTGTTGAGATAAGGGCTATTGCTATTGACTTATCAAAGGCTTTCTATTGGATATAGTTAGTTGGTTTACTCTATATGCTCTTTTTTAGTATGTATGGAAAAATGTGTAAGTTTTTTAACAAATGCACATACAAAGCAAGGTGCATACAGAGCTCAATTGTATGAGCAGTTTATTTGGTGAAATGCTAAATTTAAAAAACAAAAGAGATGTAGCGTTTAGAGTTGTAAAGCAACTGATTAGGAAGAAAAGGCATGCTGTAGAGATAAAGAATTTAGTTGAGATAAAAAAAGGTTTGTTTGCAGTAAATAAGATTGAAGAATCAGCATAACTGATGTATCCTTAGTTAACTAGCATAACTGATGTATCCTTAGTTAAGGCTGCTGGTCAATCTTTAAGTATTTTTGCTGTGCTCAATTTTTTTTTAAGTTGAGCCTCATTAAAAATTTTTATTTTCAAGGACCACAACATTTAGAAATTAAAAATTTTTATTTTTATGGACCACAACATTTAGAAATTAAAAATTTTTATTTTCAAGGACCACAACATTTAGAAATTAAAAAATTTTTATTTTCAACGACCACAACATTTAGAAATTAAAAATTTTTATTTTCATGGACCACAACATTTAGAAATTAAAAATTTTTATTTTCAACGACCACAACATTTAGAAATTAAAAATTTTTATTTTCAACGACCACAACATTTAGAAATTAAAAATTTTTATTTTCAACGACCACAACATTTAGAAAGAAGAAGGAGTTTAGCTTTTTATAAAAATGCTTTTAGAAGTCTTGAATTAAAATTTTCTAATTAAACTTAAATTTAAAATTGTTAAAGCTTTTATTTTATCTATAATCTCATAATGGAAAAAATTTAATTGAGAAATTAAAAATTGTGAAATTTAAAATTGGTGTTAGTATGCATTCAATTATATACAATGTTACAAAAAAACTCATTTTTTAAATTTTGATCTTTTGACAATTTTACACAGATCAAGTTTTATGTTTTATAATTATGACTTTTATCAGCAAATTTTTCAAATAATATATTTAACTCAAAAAAATCAGTTCTGCTGGTTTTTTAACCTTATTTGCTGCAAATAAATCTTTTTTGATTTTAAATAAATTTTTCATCCCTTCAGCATCATTATTTTTTCTAATCATTTGTTTTACCTCAAAAACTACATTTCTTTTGTTTCTTAAATTTGGAATTTCATCAAATAAATTGCTCATACAATTGAGCTCTGTATACATATTGTTTTGTCTGGCCCAAGCAAAAGTCAGCCTGTCTTCTTCATTCTCAAATTTTATCCACATGAAATTTTCTTTTTTCTTTTATATTTTCATCAACTTCTGCATTTCACCACTATGATCCCTTTATTTTGTTTGTTCTTTGACTTCATCAGATATTTTTGAACCAAAAAAACTTGACAGAAAAGCTTGCTGTGAGGAGAAATAAGTTATGTTTTGTACTACCAGGAACACTGTGAGGATCAAACTGAAATAAAAATTATTTTTAAGGGTCCCTCAAGACCCTTTTAAAAACATTAAATGAGTCCCTAAAATTATCAAAAAATTGAGTTTTGAAATTTCAAAAATAATTTTATAAAAAATATTGGAAAAAGAATTTATCATCATAAACTTTTTTAACAATGCGCTTTTTTCATTTTTAGTTAAAAATGTTTTTTAATGCAATAAAAATCTTAAAAAATAACTTTTTTTTTTTAAATAAAATGATTGTTGCTTCAAAATGATAGCTTTTTGTATATTTTGTATTCTTTTTTTCTTTTCTTCTCTTGCTTCTTGTTTTTGCTTCTGAACTAATGCACTTATCTAACAAACTATATTTATAAAACTTTTGTTTTTACTTTTAGTGCTATTTTGTACAAAAAAAGAAGTGATGTTAGGGTATGGGACAAACGCAGGCTAAAGATGATGGGAGTCGCAAGCATAAAGATGGTAAACCAAATCATAAGCGAGCTAACACACCTGGGACTAACCAAGAGCCAACAGACAAGTTTACTTTGCCATGGGATTTAAGACCTCCTGAAAAAGTTGAGAATGACGAATCTGTGAAAATTAATGGTAAGGATATAAAAATTGAAAAACTGTTTGTGTCAAATTATGTGGTCTTTTATAGTTGTTTAAAATTTCTACTTATAATAGTGAATGGTATAATGTTCCAGTAAAGCAAAATTATTTTTGAAAAAAAAAAAAAAAATTTGGTTGAAAAAGTATAAATGTAAAAAAAAAAAAAAAAAATTATATGTACAATATTTTTTTATTATATTTTTGAACAGTTTTGATTAAAATGTTTGTTTATTAATTATTATAATTTGTATTTGACAGATCACATGATAATAGTTTTATGCCTATTATGTTGAAATTTAATGTATAATAAGAATAAGGAGTGGGCACATTTTTAAAGATAAAAAAACCTCAAACTAAAATCTTAATAATCCAGATTTGGATGTTGATTAATGTATGTAGGCTTAATCCAAATGAAAAATCTCAAAATCTCCATTTGAATTGATGTCAGAAATTCTTTGTTTAGTTGTTTGTTGAAAGTTTGAATGATAAGTTTTACCTTGACATTAATTGGTTCTAAAATGCAAATAACATCATATTTTACAATAACAAATATTTTACATGGCAAATTTGCCATTTGAATATGGATATTTAGCTCTATTCCAGTAAATGGCATAGCTTACTTCTGTGACTCGGTGTCTTTATTAATGATGGCATAAACAGCTGTTTACAAAATAAATTGGACTTTTATAATTTTATAATTTTATACATGCTATTTTTGTTTTATGAATCTTTGGGATACTTAAATAAAATAATAAAGGATTTTTCATGTAATATTGTTTTAAATTATTTATTTTCTATTATGAAAATAAAACAATGCAGATCAAACACCTTTGTTTTCCATTTTTATTGGCAAAATACCTCTGTAGAAGTGTTTCATTTGTTTGATTTTGATAAAAAGTAGTTTTAAGTAAAATATTAAAAGTAATTATTTCAATACCTTTAATTATTTGTTAAAAAGTTTTTATTTCTCTCTCTGTGCTCTGTATTATTTGTTAAAAAATTTGTATTTCAGTTTCACTTTAAAGTTTAATTTTAATGCGGTAGTGGTGTAGTGGTAGAGCGCTCGCTTCATAAACGAGTGGTTCCGAGTTCGATCCCCACCATGTCCCTGGTAGTACCGCGCTCAACTCGTTTCTCCGCGCAGCGGCCTTGTTCGTCAAGGTTCGTGTTTCGGAGTTATAGAGTTGAGAGAGGGTTATAACCACAAATAAGTAGCCTCCTCGTCTGTAGTAGCCTTCTCGGCCTTGAGGAGGTGAATTAAAATAAAAAAAAAAAAAAAAAAAACTTGAAATACAAATTTACCAAAATAACACAGAGCTCATTTTGTTAGTATTAATTTTGGGAGAGTTCATTTAATTTTTTGGGATTCACGCATTGCATTATTTTGTAATTTTATAAACTTGTATTAGATAAATTAATTTTTAAAAATTATTCAATTTTAGATTTCATGAGAAGTCGTCCTCTTCCACTCCCTCCTCCAGATGGTGATAAAAGCAGCCAAAAGGAAAGTTTAAACTTTAGTGGTATTGATCAGGACAAAATTTTTTTTGTACAATATGACTTTGACTGTGGTGATATTGAAAATCAACTTTCTGTTTCTAAAGGTGAACTGGTTCATATACTAAAATATGATGAACAAAAAGTTTGGTGTGAAGGACAAAATAAAAATGGTAAAACAGGATGGCTTCCCTTCTCATATGTTGTTCCTTTTACTAGTATGCATAAATATGATTGGTATCATGGAAGAATTTCAAGAAATCGTGCTGAATACTTGTTGAACAGTGGTATCAATGGTAGTTTTTTAGTGCGAGAAAGTGAAAGTGCTCCGGGTCAACATTCTCTTTCACTAAGATATGATGGGAGGGTGTATCACTATAGAGTTTATTTCGAAAACGACACTGTTTATGTTAGAGAAGAAGCTAAGTTTAAAACACTTGAAGAATTAGTAACATACCATTCTCGTGAAGCTGGAGGTCTTGTTACTAATTTACGATATCCTGCATTAAAAGTTGATAAACCAGCAGTATATGGTTTTTCGCCAAAAGATGATGAATGGGAAATACCACGAATGGATATATTTATGGGACAAAAGTTAGGCGGGGGACAGTATGGAGAAGTTTATAAGGCAGAATACAAAAAGTATGGAGTAACTGTAGCTGTTAAAACTTTGAAGGTTTTAATTTTTCTATATTATTATTTTTGTAATGTAATGTAATGTTACTTAAATATATATATATATATCAGGCCTTGCGATGAATAAGAACTGCGCGACGCATAAGCACGACGTGATTTTTGACGTCATTAAATTCTTTTTATTTGCTTTTCATATTTATGGACATTAACTGCACCAATTTACTTAATTACCGCAAAACTACTTTAAATCGTTTATGTAGAAATGTTATTATTTAAAAATGTTTTGGAATGTTTCGTTTTTTAAAATGTAAAAACATTTGTTTATTTTCTCGACGTTTGTCACGTTTTGTTTATACTAAACGAATAAAAAACATTATAACTTAAATTTAAAAAAGATTATAAAATATGCTAATATTTGATTTTTTTTTCTTAAATATGTAATTTCAAGTTTTTCAAATAATTATTTCTTTCTTTTTAAAAAGTCAGCGAGTAACAAACTGGAAATTTTAATATTGTACAATTAAAAACTGTGCAATAGCTAATATTTTTACAAGCGATTTTATATAATATTCATTTATTTATTTTTATTTATTTTCATAAAGCGGTTGATAAGCACAATCACTCGTATTACTAAAAAACTTTAACGAATGTTTTGAATAGATTTTTAATGTTAACAAGGAATTTATTAAAAAATTATTCTTAAAAATTATTATTAAAAATTATTCGAAAAACTATTGACGTTTTATTTTTCAGCAGCTGTTTTTGAGCACGCTTCGTCGAGTTTCGGTAACTTTTAACATAAAAGCGATCATTATTATTTAAGTAATTTTTTTGAGTTACTTTTTACAAAAATTTTAATAACTGTATTTTTTTATTGAATCAAGTAGAATACCTTTTAATATTAATCCTTTTATTTATTTTTATTTGCGCTCACCAATTTTTAAAATGTTTCCTCGAAATTACTCTTAAATACTTTAAATACGTCTAACAGTTAATAAATATTTTTAAATCTATGGAATAATTTTAAAACCTAACAAACCCCTGTAAAATAATTATTTAAGTTTAAAATCTAAAACTAAAAGAAAGTATTTTTGTTCAATTTTATCGACAACTTTGCTATTGCTGAATAATTTTATTAAAATGTTAGCTTAAAAGATTTGAACTTTTTTTTTAATCTGAATTTTTTCTACTTGTAAATAATGAGCATGTTTAATTTTTTTTAATTCAAACTTTTATTTCAACTGCGTGCGGTTTTTAAAATACTTTATTAAATGTTAAAATAATCGTAAATTACTTCATTAAAATTCCTCTCAAAAATATCTTTAAATATACTCAAACAAAAATTTTTTTGCTCGACGCAAATAGCCCTAGCTACACACAAAATCGCTCTTGGATATATATATTAAAGAGAGAAAGAGAAAGAGGCCTTGGTGAGAGTAAATAAGAGAGTAAATAAGTGCGAGAGCAGAGAAAAGCTCTCCTAAAACGAACATGACTAGTCATTCAAGCTGCTCATCTAAACAGCTTTTTACAAGAGTTTTTGGTTTTTGTACAAGCTACCTGTTTATTCATTAAAAAAGTTGTTTATTAAATACAAAATTTGATTTTGTACTCGTTACAAGCTTGTAACTTTAATGTTACAAGAATATATACATAACGAGCCTCATTTATTGCACCCGGAAAAAACAGTTCAAGATACCACAATAAAAGTATTTATATAATTACAATTTTTTTTAGCAGATGATTAATGCATTATATTTTTTTATTTTGCTCAAATTAAGACAAATTTAAATAATTCATTATAATTAATATATTAAATTGTTCTCAGGGATAGTGCAAAACCACCTAACTAGCATTATATAATACCGCGTATCTATATTACAGATTTTTTACTAGAGAAGATTAAAACTTTATGTTTTTTTTATTTCAACAGATTTTGGGCTTGTTTTAGCATAGAGAGTATTATTCATGTTTTTTTTAATCTTTTTTGTTCATGTTCTTTCTAATATTTGTATATTTCAATATGTCAACAATAGATATTTGGCGTTAAAATTATTATATCCAAATATAGTAGCCAATGCTAGTTACCCTGATTTGCACTTTCCATGATATAATTTATTACGTAATATAAAAATTATATTGCAATAATTTACTGTGTAATAATTTTATATTATAATTTGAGTTAAAACCAAAAAAAGCAGTTATAACATTAAAAGAATGTTTTACTTTTTCAAATATATTTATAAAAATGTTTAATATTATAAACTGAATTTTAAATAATAGCTTTAATAAGAGATATAGCATTGACTAAAAATAAAATCTACACCAGAATATTATCCATTTATTTTTTCATAATGGCATTTTTATAAGAAACTGATTTTTTATTTAGAAACCAATCAGTTAGTCCAAGGCGTTCTTTTTAATTTTTTTTTATGCGCAATAACTGTCTTTAAAAAATGCATTGCAGTTTATTATTATTGGTTTATTTCTTAAATAATTTTTTTATTTTTCATTTTAGTTACAATGGCTTTTGTTTATAAACAACTTTACAAACTTGACCATATTGTCTTTTATGTTATAGTCATATTGACTGTTACACACAAAAAAAAAACTATAGTAATAAACAATAGCATTTTGTAAGCAAAAAGTTTAAAACTTATTTGAAGTTTAATTTGAAACTCAAACTTTGCCTATTTATTCGATAAAGTTTGCACAAGAATTTTTAATTTTTCTAATCAATATCTAAAAATAGAGAAAAAAAGAAAGTGGTTAATATTTATGAAAAATTCTACTTTTGCAAGAAACATAAATTGCTCCCATAAATAACTTAAGGGGAGTGTGGGCAAGTGCTAAAGTTCTCGCTGTAAACAGTAAATAAGAAGTTATGAGGTCAAAATAACATTTTGTCTAAATTGGTTTTGTCTAAAAATTGTGCAACAGGTAGTGCCTAGCAATGCTCATATATTTAATACTTTACAGTGCTTTTTTTTTCTAGAAACATACCAGAACGATATTCTAATATCATTATTTGGGGAAGTTTTTTAAATTTTGCATTTTACTTTTGTCTGATGAAATTTGTAAAAAACTATGGAATTTGCTAAAAAAAAATATTATGGTTTCACTTTTTTATTAGTTTTTAAGTAAAAAAATGTATATAGCATTGATTGACAAGTAAAAATTCTGTAAATAATAATCAAAATTTTATGAATGATATTGCCACCATTTTGCAACGCTAAAAATTGTTCTCAAAGGCATTATGATGAACTATGATGTATATACACAATTAAACAATTTAATGTAAAAATATCTATTAGAACACAGATTAGCAAAAACAACATTTATATAGTAAATAAAATTTTACATAGCACATATTTAATATAATAAAAGAGGTTAAACATAAATTTGTGCTTTAGGAAGATCAAACTGATGTTGAAGAATTTCTTAAAGAAGCAGATATGATGAAGCAAATAAAACATCCGAATCTTGTTAGATTAATTGGTGTTTGTACGCACGAGTCACCAATTTATATTATTACTGAATACATGCCACTTGGCAATCTTTTAGAATACTTGCGCCAGTCTGACAAAGCTGACCTCCCTGCTACTACACTTCTTTATATGGCGTCACAAGTAGCAGCTGCGATGAGTTATTTAGAATCAAAAGGTTTTATTCATAGGTATAATTTTTCTTTTTCATATTTTTAAAAGTAGTGTTTTATTAATTTTGTTAATTATAAATTTGAAATAAATAAAAAATTCTAAAGTGATATAGTCAAAACATTCATTCAAAGAAGTGATTTTCATAATTTACATTGTTTTCTAAAATGTTTGCAGGTTTTTAAAATATATATATATATATATATATATATATATATATATATATATATATATATATATATATATATATATATAAATATATATTTAAAGTTTCCAAACAATTAAAAAATAGTATAAGTTTTTAGATGACTTCAGATAAAATTGTATAAAATATATAATAAAATATTAGTTATATAGTTTTTTTAATAACTTAAAAATGAAACAAAAATAATTTACATAAAATTTCAATGATTGTGTCTGAGAATGTACTTTTAAAAATTTTATTCACTACTAAATAAACATGCACTAGAAACTAGAACTTTAGTGAACAAAGTATTAAATTTATAAAACAACCATCAATCTCTTATAATCTAAAAAACTTAATTAAATACTCAAGAAAATCTGTTTAAAAAATGCCCTCAAATAAATTTAAATAAATAGATTTCCACCATAAAATTTCAGTTTATTTCAGAGTATAAAAAATGCTAAAAATATTTCACAGAATATTTTGTAAATATAGAAGCAAAGATTAAAAGGTATTAAAAGTATTAATATAGGTTCTTATGTATGTTATGTTCTTATGTATGTTATGTATGTCATGTTCTTATGTATGTTATGTATGTTATGTTCTTATGTATGTTATGTTCTCAGGGCTCAATTTAACAGTTTGACATCAGACATTGTCCAGCTAAAATATCATATTGTCCGGTCAATTTACAAAATAATCTGTCATTTTGACCAAAGAGAATTAAATTCTATAAAATAATACTTTATTATATATATATATATATATATATATATATATATATATATATATTATTATTATTATTATTATTATTATTATTATTATATTTAGATGAATAAAAACAACTGATTAGCGGGACTTAAAGTTTCATGCCCGAAGGCAATCATCAGCCGTTAATAGCCGGTATTAACGACTGATGATTGCCTTCGGGGATGAAACTTTAAGTCCCGCTAATCAGTTGTTTTTATTCATCTAAATATAATTATATATAGCTCTATTATTCAGTAATTTTGAGCACTGTAACATGTACAAGAGACTTCGTATTATTACATCAAAATACTTAACCTCGAATATATTCTATATATCGAAATCTATACAAATATAATATATATATATATATATATATATATATATATATATATATATATATATATAATTAAAAGCTTAAAAAAAAAACTCAAAAAACTCGAAGTTAAAATTACTTTTTAATACGTTTTTTATTGCGTTTGAAATAAATTACTTTAAAACTTATCTTTTGAAACCTTTTATTAATGTTACGCAAAACGCTGTTACATCGATTGTTTATTAAATGAACAAATTTTATTTAAATTATTAAAAAATAAAATTAAGTTATTTAAAATATATATATATATAATATTTTTTAGTTGAATAAACATTTTTTTCAAAAAATTGCAACAAAAAAAAAAAGAATGTTTAAAAAATAAATTTTTTAAAATAATAATTTATAATATTAATCATTTTATGCTTTGATTAATAAGTCAAATTAAAAAAAAAAAAAACTTTTAAACAAATCTTTGTAAAAATAGAAACAAAAAAAAAAGCATTTAAATCATGGGAAGATTTAATTTAACTTATTCAAAAATTAAAAGATTTTGATTGTAAAACTTGGTTCCGTAAGACCGTAAAAATTATATTAAAAAAATTTGATTGGAAATTGTTCAACCCAAGCAAGTTTTGTTCAGATATTTTGTCCGGGACTTAAAAATTATATTGAGCCTTGTGTTCTTATGTATGTTATGTTCTTATTTCCTTTTTTTACTAAGTGAAAAAAATTGTTAAGAAATCATCTTTCTTTTACTTAAAAAATCTTTTTTTCAATTTTTTTATTTTTCTATAAACTTATTGTTCAATGTAAAAAATTATATAAATTAATAACTTTTATTAAAATTAATTGATTTTTTATCATAGCTGTTTTGATAAAAACATGCCAATTATATATAATGACTGGTTTATTAAAATCATTTTCCAATTATCATTTTCAAGGTTTTCAAGGGTTGCTTTAGTTACCAAAACCTGGAACACAGATTTTTTTTGGTAGTTTTTCTTTTATAGCTTTTCTTTTATAGTTTTTAAGCTAAAAGAAAAATAGAAAAAAACAGAAACAACTAAGTTCAATTTGTTGTATACTGTACAAAAGCGCTATCAATCATCATAACTGGTACACCATCACATACCACTATCATGGTATATCATCACATACCACTATCATGGTATATCATCACACACCACTACCATAATACATCATCACATACCACTATCATGATATATCATCACATACTACTATCATGGTACATCATCATATACCACTATCATAATACATCATCACATACCACTATCATGGTAGGTGCTTGCTGGCTCCAAAAAAATTTATGTAGAATTTTTTTAAAATTCTTAATTTTACATGAATTTTTTTTATAAAGACATGAATAAATATTATCTTTTTCTAAATAACAAAGAAAATATAAATTTGTTTCATGAAGTACATGATTATTTATAATATGAACTTTAAACTAGAACTTTTTTTGCACTCAAAACCAAAAAAGAAAAGAAAATGTTTTTTTTTCTAACTTAAAAAAAATAACTGTTATAAAAATATTTTGTTTAATAATAATGCACGTGAGTTATTTTTAAATATTTTTTTTTTCTTTTTTTTTATTTGTTTGATTAAGACTAGGTAGATTAAAATTTATTTGTTTGATTAAGACTAGATAGATTATTAGACTATTTATTTTTAATTGCTTATTTGGTTTAAAACTTGAAAAAAGAAAGCATACCTATCTTGAAAGCAAGTTTCTCTAAAAAAAAATTTTTTTATTAGTATATAGAAATTTATCTAAGCGCAATCATTCGTTAATCTCAAAAATGAATTTATCTTGAATTTTGTCAAAGAGCAATCATTCATTAATTTTAAAAATTTAAAAAAAAAATGTGGCCGTATCTAAAATTTAAGATCAAAAAAAAAAAATTAATGGAAAAACAAAAATAGTCTCAAAAGTCATATGAATACAGAATAATCTCAATTAATCTATTAGTAGGGGAGGGTACATGAGAACTTTTATCAAGTTAGTCTTACTGATTGATCATTTTTTGAAGCCAAATTACATGCTGAACACAAATCCGCCAAGCATTTTGCTGTACTACATCGTTTGATGTCGGATTGCAGCCATTTTTCAAAATGGCTGCTATAATGACAATTTATCTTAGGCCCATACATCTTGATCCAGATTAGACCTTGTGATATATATTTTCTATGGTTTTCAGGTCAAGGTATTCGAATTTCAATGTAAAATTGATGTACTAACAATGGTTTATTTTATTTGCAAATAAAATAATTTGCTAATTTTAAGGCAAAAGTTTAGAGGTTGATCTGTAACTCGAGTCGCAGTGATTCAGAGGTGAAATGAATGAGCCACATTTTGTTCTTATATATTCATCACAAACTGAATATATTATTGAGTATATATTTATTCAGTTTTAACTGCTGAATATATTGTATTTGTTTCCTCCTAACTGTAAGTACGTTTAACTTATTTGGATAAGGCCTACACTTCATAAATGGAATGTTCCTGGTTTTGTGGTGCACAGGTGAATTATTTGACCCAAAATCAGGCCTTGTGATGAATAAAAAATGCGCGACGCATAAGCTCGATGTGATTTTTGACGTCATTAAATTCTTTTTATTTGCTTTTCATATTTATGGACATTAACTGCACCAATTTACTTAATTACCGCAAAACTACTTTAAATCATTTATGTAGAAATGTTATTAATTAAAAATGTTTTGAAATGTTTCGTTTTTTAAAATGTAAAAACATTTGTTTATTTTCTCGACGTTTGTCACGTTTTGTTTATACTAAACGAATAAAAAACATTATAACTTAAATTTAAAAAAGATTATAAAATATGCTAATATTTGATTTTTTTTTCTTAAATATGTAATTTCAAGTTTTTCAAATAATTATTTCTTTCTTTTTAAAAAGTCAGCGAGTAATAAACTGGAAATTTTAATATTGTACGATAAAAAAAAAAACTGTGCAAAAGCTAATATTTTTACTAGCAATTTTATATAATATTTATTTATTTTTATTTTCATAAAGCGGTTAATAAGCACAATCACTCGTATTACTAAAAAACTTTAACGAACGTTTTGAATAGATTTTTAATGTTAACAAGGAATTTTATTTCTAGTAAAATAAAATAAAATGTTAGAATAAAAATCTTATAGGTATAAAAGACATATTTCAGCGAAAAAATTATTGTTAAAAATTATTATTAAAAATTATTTGAAAAACTATTGACATTCTATTTTTCAGCAGCTGTTCTTGAGCACGCTTCATTGAGTTTCGGTAACTTCGTTGAGTTTCGGTAACTTTTAACAAAAAAGCGATTGTTATTATTTAAGTAATTTTTTTCGAGTAACTTTTTACAAAAATTTTAATAACTGTACTTTTTTATTGAATCAAGTAGAATACGTTTTAATATTAATCCTTTTATTTTTTTTTATTTGCGCTTACCAATTTTAAAAATGTCTCCTCGAAATTACTTTTAAATACTTTAAATTTGTCTAACAGTTAATAAATATTTTTAAATCTATAGAATAATTTTAAAACCTAACAAACCCCCGTAAAATAATTATTTAAGTTAAAAATCTAAAACTAAAATAAAGTATTTTTGTTCAATTTTATCGACAACTTTGCTATTGCTGAATAATTTTATTAAAATGTTAGCTTAAAAAGGTTTAAACTTTTTTTTTTATCTGAATTTTTTCTAATTGTAAATAATGAGCATATTTATTTTTTTTGTAATTCAAACTTT